GTATAATCTCATTCCTTGCCTTTTATAAAAGTTCTTCACAGAATTGATAAATAAATGCATATCTGGGAATTTGAGTCAGTTAAAAATAGGCAGGTAATAGAAAGGGAAATATGGAGGGGTTTTTTTTAAAGACTAATTTTATCCTAATGAGGTAAAACATTTTCTTTCTTGCATTTTTTTCAATTTCTAGAATATTCACCTCATTAGGGCATCAGAGAAATTGACAATATAAACAGTCAGTTTTCCACACATCTCCTGTAGGTAGTGCTAAGTCCTACAAAAATATTACATTCATTCTACAGATTTTGCATGATTAGGTGAAGTGACTTTTACCTAGTTATGCAAAACGATTTTTACTTACTAGTAGAGAACAGCAAGATGATATTATCCCCAAATCCTACCATGTTCCATAAGCTACATAAAAGCAAATTTTATCTCCGTATAAATATTTTTACTATTAGTGAAAAAAAATCAGCCTTTTAAAAGCAGGATAATTTCTTATTTGTGTGAGACAGTTTCACAAAGTCTCTATATGGCAAACTCCATATTTACCAAATGGTTTCTAGAGAAACCCTCCAACTCCATCATTCTACAATTAACCATAATTTCTGTTAGGTGAGTAACATTTGGTAGAAATAGACAACCAGCTAATAGGTCCTGAATTCCACTACAGTTGTGCATTAGAAACAGGCATGGAAGCCCGGGCATGATGGCTCATGCTTGTAATCCCAGCACTTTGGGAGGTCAAGGTGGGTGGATCATGAGGTCAGGAGTTTGAGACTGGCCTGGCCAAGACGGTGAAACCCTGTCTCAATAAATAAATAAATAAATAAATGAATAAATAAATAAATAATAACAAAAAGAAACAGGCATGGAATGAAAGGAGAACACAATTTCTCAGCAAATAATTCTTACTGAATTATGTAGGAAAATTTCAACTGATTTTTTTTTCCATTGTCAAATGTCATGTGTTCTCTGTGAGAGAAAATCGCTGGCATACTGAAGGAAGTTCATCCCATTAGACTTTGGAGCAGGTCATAGGCTTTGGAGGCCTACGCTAATTCTTTCAGACTACAGAGAGCCAACTCATAAATATCTATTTCAGTGTTCTAAAATGATTAAATGACATCATAATGACCTGGTTTAAAGAAAATGTTACAAGGGGGCCCCTAAATGGTACCCTGGTGGCCTGAAAGAGTTAATGCAGTTTCCTTAAGTGCCCAATTTCATCTTAATTTGCAATATACATAGCAGGGAATGTGCCCAATAACTCACTAATAGCAACATCTAATGAAAGTATATTAAGGAGAGAGAAGTTCTTTGACAGAGTCTATCAATGAGCAGGTGACAATTCTGATTAATATCCTCTGCCAAGAAAGGAGAAATGGAGCCTTAGGAAATTCAGTAATTCTATGGAAAAACATTCAGGTGATGCTCTTCTTAAAGAATATCTCAAGAGATTAAGATGCATGACAACAGATACTATGTTCTTCCAAAATAAAGTTAAGGTTTATGTGTAACACACTCTGGCAGCAAACAATGTTTATTTTTTATAGCAAGACTGGAAGAGTAGAATAATGTTTTTCTAAGTTTTCAATATATTGGACGTCATAGATCTATTTAATATATTAGAAAAGCAGATAGCAATTAGAAACAGGTCTCTTCTTATAGGAATGGAATGGAATATTTTTACTATACAGGTTGTCAAAACATGTAATTATTGTATATAAAGCTTAATATTATTAGATCAAATTCTCCAATAAAGCTACATATCAGAAAAGATGGCAGAATATGATAATGAAATAGAAGAGAAACAGAAGAGAGACATTTTAAAAGTAGAAGTAGAAAACACATTTTGGTATTCAAAGATAATTTAGTCAAATGAATGAATCAATTATTAGAAGCATAGAAACATGGAGTAAAAGAATTAATCGTGAGTCCTTAAATCACCTTAAAATTATTGCACTTATAAGTACATATATAGAGTTTTAAAGTCCAGAAAAAGCCCAAGTAGAAATATATATACTTATATATTTGTATGATACAAATTTATTCTATGATAAAAGAAATCTTTCAAATCCAAGAGTAAGGGAAAAAATTTGGAAGTCAGTGCAATGTGATTGTGAAGAGAATGAAAACTTGGCTTATATCTCTTGGTTCTAATCTCAGCTCTTATTCTTAATAGCTGTATTAGCTTGAACAAATCACTAACTGTCTTTTGGTTCCCTTCTCTGAAAATTGGGAAGTATAATGATGCTTACATTGAAAAGTAACAGAAATAATAAATGTAAATCATTTGGCAGAGTATCTGGCTCATAGTAAACCACAATAAATGCTAATTGTTATTATTATTCAACAAATGGGGTTTAAACAAATGACTAACCACATAGGAAACAAGTTAGGTCCCCCTTATCCCTTATGTAACAGATAGAATCAGATGGATGAAAGAGTTAAATGTAAAAACGAGAACTCCAAAAGTAGGAAAGCAAATATATACGAATATTTATAATAATCTCGTGTTTGGGGAAAGCAGGAAGCAAAAAGCCATAGACCTATGAAAGACTTGAAAAATTTAAACTTCAGATGGAAAAAAATATGTGTAACAATAAAAGACACACAGTAGACTAGAAAAATATTTGTAGTGTATAAAGGGTCATGATAATTTACATAAAGTGTTCCTATCATCAATTTTTCTAAAACATAATGTTTGATCAAGCAGGTAATGAACACAAACAGATGGTGTATATTGTGACTTCATTGCTCTCTGTAGTTTCAGAGCCTCCTCAAACTTCATGTCAGGTACCTTTTTCTGTACATAAAGGAGCCAATTTAAATGCTACTTCAGTAGAAAGGCCTCTTCTGATCTTCTATCTAAATTGCATTTCTCTAAATGTCTTTCACATGGCATGTGATTTTGCATATGTGTCACAGCTCTTGTTCTTTATTACATGTTTATGTCTGTTGATTTATAACCATTTCCCCCTCATTAGACAATAGCTCATAGGACTGGGTGTATTCTGTTTACACTCTATAATAAATTCCAGGTTGGTGGATCACTTGAGCCCAGGAATTCGAGACCAGCTTGGACAACATGGTAAACCCTGTTTCTAGAAAAAAATACAAAATTTAGCCAAGCATGGCATGCACCCTTAGTCCCAGCTACTTGTTTGGTGACTGAAATGGGAAAATCATTTGAGCCCAGAAGGTTGAGGCTGTGATGTGGCCACTGCACTCCAGCCCAGGTGAACAGAGCAAAACCCTGTCTCAAAACAAACAAACAAACAAACAAATAAACACAAAAAACAGAAACAGCAAACTAAAATAATTGTTTATAGGTTGTGTTGTGTACTATTAGAGGAATATAATCTTCCATTGTCTTTTGTTTCCCTCTTGGTGTTAAGCAGTTATTACAAAATGGTGATATTCTACTTCAATCCTTTATTACCTGAAATATTACTGTAACAAGAAACTTCTCATCAATAATTTGATTACATTGATTTATAGCTCATTTAGAAAATTCAGATGTCTACTGCTCTTTATAAAACAATTTGCAAACTGGCAAGTTGATTCGCTCGCATCTTCCTAAGTTGATTCTCTAGCATCTTCCAAAGTTAACCAGTGAGTTTTATTTCTTCATTTACAAAGAACTATTATGAGCTCATGGATTAGAACATATTTTGATGTATTTCAATCTATTGCAGTTATCCTTATTTAAGTTGACTTCTGAGGCTTCTCAGTATCACCCTGGAGCCTTTGAGAGATTTCTCACATTTTTGTGTGATATAATGTCCCAGGATCATCTTAAATTTTCTACCCAGAACTCAGAATCCTCTATTTCTCCAAGGAGTCTTTATTACTTGTATTATGAAATAATATTTAGAAATTACAATTTGAGTGCTAGAGGTGCTCATTACTATATCATTGGAAATTTTAAAATATATTTTCAGAAGACAAAGCTAAGAAATGTGTATTTGGAAATATAAAATTTATTATGAGTTCATAAAAATGCTTCCAATTCAAATTCAGGAGTATATGATTTTTACCTTTATCTTACTTTTATTTCCTGTTTCTCTCACGTCAGCAATCCTGGCCTTTAACAGTATTCATAAATCCTTATTTGTCTTTCCCTTACTACAAATCCAAGTCTCATAACAACAACATATCACTGTCATCTATGAGTATAATCCACAAACTGTATAATTATTTTTAAGTTTTTGTTGAGTCTTAGAATATGTCCAACTAACGATACACAGTCAAGTTATTGTGTTTTAAAGTCACTGTAAATAGTCCTTTTCTGTGTATTATGCCACTTGTCTGTCTCCTCATGTACAAATTCCATATCATCTTAATTATAGGATGTTCTTCCAGGGGAGGTGGCTCACGCCTGTAATCCCAGCACTTTGAGAGGCTGAGGTGGGCGAATCACCTGAGGTAGGGAATTCAAGACCAGTCTGACCAACACAGAGAAACCCCGCCTCTACTAAAAATACAAAATTAGCCAGGTGTGGTGGTGCACGCCTGTAATCCCAGCTACTGAATAGGCTGGGGCAGGAGAATGGCTTAAACCTGGGAGGTGGAGTTTGTGGTGAGCCAATATCGCACCATTACACCCCAGCCTGGGCAACAAGAGCGAAACTCCATCTCAAAAAAATAAATAAATAAATTATAGGAGGTTCATAATATGTGTTGATAATTTTTAGGGCTAGGTTACTCTTACTCTTTCCTTTTTAAGGGTTATCCTTTATTTCAGGGTTTTCCTATTTTTTTCCAACTGAACTCTATTTAGCTTCAAAGAAAATGAAAACTAATAGTATTTTTATGGAGATTGCATCTTTAATACGTTAACTCTTCCCACTCAAAATAATGGTATGTCTTTCCATGCATTCATTTCTACATTTGTGTTTTTCAGGATTGTTTTGGAGTCTTCTGGATATGAGAACATTATAAAAGGTGAAAAAGTAGAACTGAAATATTAAGGGAGAAACAGAGATAACTATGGT